TTGGATTCATTCTCTTCGTTGCATTCAGGTATACGTATCAAACGTAGATTAGGTCTTTTCACATAGTCCCACATTTCTTGGAGACTTTGTTCATTCCTTTTTGCCCGTTTTTCTCTATTCTTGCCTTCCCGTTTTATTTCATTGAGTTGATCTTCAACCTCTGATATCCTTGCTTCTGCTTGGTCAATTCGGCTGTTGATACTTGTGCATGCTTCACTAAGTTCTCGTGTTGTGTTTTTCACCTCCATCAGTTCACTTATATTCCTTTCTATTTTGTCCATCCTCGTTAGCATTTCGTCAAATCTTTTTTCAATGTTCTTAGTTTCTTTGCATTGAGTTAGAACATGTTCTTTTAGTTCACAGAAGTTTCTTACTATCCACCTTCTGATGTCTGATTCTGTCATTCATCACACTCGTTCTCCATCCAACCTTGTTCCCTTGCTGGTGAGGAGTTGTGATCCCTTGTAGGAGGAGAGGTGTTCTGGTTTTGGGTGTTTTCATCCTTTTTGTGCTGGTTTCTTCCCATCTTTATGGATTTATCCACCTGTCGTCTTTGTAGTTGCTGGCTTTCAGATTGGGTCTCTGAGTGGATGTTCTGTTTGTTGATGATGAGGTTATTTCTGTTTCTTGGTTTTCCTTCTGACAGTCTGGCCCCTCTGCTGTAGGTCTGCTGAGGTGCACTCCAGGCCCTGCTTGCCTGGGGTTCACCTGCAGCAGCTGCAGAACAGTAAGGGTTGTTACCAGTTCTCTTCTTCTGCTATCTTTGTCCCAGAAGGATACCCGCCAGGTGTCAGTCTGATCTCTCCTTTATGAGATGTCTCTTTGGATATATAGGGGTCAGGGAGCTGCTTGAGGAGACGGTCTCTTCTTTATAGGAGCTCAAATGGTGAGCTGTGAGCTCTGTTGTTCATTCAGAGCTGCTGGGCAGGTATGTTTAGGTCTGCTGCAGCAGAACTCATAAACTGCTTTTTGTTCCCAGGTGCTCTGTCCCAGGGATTTAGGGCTTTTCTTATGAGTTTCCGTTATGCTGCTGCCTTCTTTTTTTTTTTCCTTCAGACCTGCCCAGCCCAGCAAGGAGGTAGCCTAGTCACTGTCTGCCTGTAGAGGCTTTGCTGAGCTGCTGTGGGCTCCGCCCAGCTGTGGAGTGAACTTCCCTGCAGCCCTGTTTATATGGGTGTAGTTAGAACTGCCTCGGCAAGGGTGGCTGCCTCTGTTAAGGCAGAGTCTCTCTGTAGTGGTGTGTTGCCTTGGCAACGGCGGGCTGTCTCAGCATTGGCTGACTGCCTCCGTAGTGGTGGGCTGCCTCAGTAATGGTGGACACCCCTCCCCCTCAGAGCTGGACCATCCCGGGTTCAGCTGCGCTTGCTGTGAAACTCTCAATCCAGAGAGTTTCTGATTGCTGTTCTTTTGTGGGGGTGGGACCAGCCGAGCCTGATTGCCTGGCTCACTGCCTCAGAGCTTTTTTTTTCTTTTTTTTAAGTTGGTGTTCCAGTCACCTGTTGAAGAGGCGCCAGGGTCTGTTTGTTTTCCTGGGCAGCGACTCACTGCGCTGGCTTAAACAGCAGCACTGAGATTCGTGGCACTTTTTTTTTGCCCTGGAATCTAGTGTCCTGGTTCTCTGCTCAGTCCCCTTTTTAAACAGACGAATGGGTGACCCCCGTGGCTCCAATCGCCAGCCAAAAGGGCACCCAGACTGGTGTATTTTGTATGGGGAACCGCTGCTCTGGGGCGGCGGCAAAGCAGCCGGGCGGGGCAAAGCAGCAGTGCCGGCCAGCACAGCCACGCTGGCCGAAACAGCTGCGCTGGTGACCGGTGGAGCTCCTCCGCCTGGGAATTGCCTAGTCTGTGGGCAATAAAAATGTGGCATCCACTTACCCTCTGCACTTTCACTGGGAGCTGCAATCCTGAGCTGTTCCTAAACAGCCATCCTGGATCCAATCAAAATCTCTATTTTTAAGACTGATTACTTAAAAGATAAAGAAAAAAACTCTTTTAGTATGACTTCTGCCCTTTAGGGAAAGACTGTTTGGATAACCTGGAAGTTGAAGCTGATGACAACATACTTGAATTCAGTTAGACACTAGAAGAGTGTGTATCTAAGGTTATGACTGTACATCATATCATAGAGGAATAATGTAAACAAGAAAACCAGTACTTTGAGCAGGGGAATGTATGGCTTTCAGTAAAAGTGAAATCATTTAAAATTGCCCAGTTATCCAAAACAGTTTAGACACATCAAGAAAAGCCAAGAGTACAGGCTCAAGTTATATTGGAGGAAATGTTGTTTTCTTAGGCTTTTAAGACAAACATTTTCAGAATCAGACCACAGTAATAGTAGAGCCAGAACTGGAAAAAAAAAAAAGCTATAGGAACTGACAAAATAGCTGAGTGAGAGAGTCACTACAAAGCACAGCAAAAAGATGTGCCTTTTAAAGGAAAGTACATCATTATGGAGGCAATGATTCATGACCTGCAAATCACATGTAATGAGATGGAATAAAAAGCTGAACTCTTGAGTTATTGAGGTAGGAGATGGGGCTCAGACACTGGAACAAATTGAGGACTAGCTAAAACAGGGACAGGGTAGAAGCAGCTTTCCATAAGACACATCCTGCAGTGTGTCATGCCAGTTTACCATTGCCATGGCAACACTGAAATTTACCGCCCCTTTTCACAGCAATGACCCAATGACCCAGTAGTTACCACTCTTTTTTAAAGAAATTTCTATATAATCTACCCCTTAATTTACATATAAGTAGGTATAAATATGACTGTAGAACTGCCTCTGAGCTGCTGCTCATGACCACAGTCCATGCCATCACTGCCACCCAGAAGACTGTTGATGGTCCCTCTGGGAAACTGTGGCATGACAGCCTCAGGGCTCTCCAGAACATCATCTGCCAAGGCTGTGGGCAAGGTAATCCCTGAGCTGAACAGGAAGCTCACTGGCATGGCCTTCCATGTCCCCACTTTTATGTGTCAGTCATAGACCTGAGTTGCCATCTGGAAACAGCTGCCAAATATGATGACATCAAAAAGGTGGTGAAGCAGGCAATGGAGGCTCCCTCAAGGGCATCTTGGGCTATACTGAGCACCAGATTGTCTCCTCCAACTTTAACAGTGACACCCACTCCTACCTTCAATGCTGGGACTGGCATTGCCCTCAATGCCTACTTTGCCAAGTTCATTTCCTGGTAAGACAATGAATTTGGCTATAGCAACAGGGCGATGGACCTCATGGCCCACATGGCCTCCAAAGAGTAAGAACACTGGACCACCAGTCCCAGCAATATCACAAGAGGAAGATAGAGGCCCTCACTGCTGGGGAGTCCTTGCCACAATCAGTTCCCCACCACACTGAGAATCTCCCCTCCTCACAGTTTCCATGCAGACCCCTTCAAGAGGGAGTGGCCTAGGGAGCTCCACCTTGTCATGTACCATCATCACTAAAGTTCCCTGTGCTCAGTCAATAAAAAATAAATAAATAATTATCAATCTAAGTGTTCTTTCTATGATCAATGATGTAAACATCTTTCTGTTTCTAATGTTCATCCATAATGTCTTACTGCACAATTTAAAAAGCGTTGTTTTCCCACTTTTTAAAAGAATAGTTCTAGAAAATAAGTGTGTTTGCAACCTGAAATTAATGATTTGGTATTTGCAAAGAATTGTAGTATTGAAAGTCTGTCACTCAGGTTAATTAATGGTTTTATCATTTCATTTGATTTAAGAATCTCTAAGTCCTTAACAGTGAAAAAAAATGCAAAGTTCTGGATGCTGTTATTGTTATTAAATCTGCAGGAAACAAAATAGTATTATTTTTCTAGAAAATTGATGACCACATGTGGAAAATTGTGGTTGTTTAAGATTATATTTACAACTTTTTTGGTACTTGACGTGAAGATTAACTGATCTCCCTTTGAGTGAGAGTTGGTGACTTACTTGTAACAAACAGAATACGGTGGAATTGACCATGAGTGACATCTAAGGGTAGGTCATCAAAGGCATCTTTCTCTCTGGAATCTGAATTCTGTGGGAAACCAGTTGTCATGTTATCAAAACACTTAAGCACCCATTTGGAGAGAACCATAAGGTGAGGAATTAAGTCTTCCTCCCAATTACACCTGAAGAACTGAGACTCCTTTGCTGATAGCTATGTGAGTAGGCCATTTTGAAGGCACACTCTTTAGTCTAGACAAATCTTTAAATGACAGCATCCATAACCAAAGTCTTTTTTTTTTTTTTTTCTTTCTGGAGATTGGAGTTTTATTATTACTCAAATCAGTTTCCCTGAGCATTTGGGGATTGGAGTATTTAAGGGTAACTTGGTAGGTAGGGGGCAGCCAGGGAGTCAGGAGTGCTGATTGATCAGGATGACCAGAGTCTTGACTGTAGCTTCATTAGAGACTCTGAGCCAGAACCACTCAGCTAAGAATCTCCCAAACTGTGAAACAAATTAATGTTTGTTGTTTTAAACCACAGCAATATTTTGGGACGTTTTGTTACACAGCTGTAGGTGATAAATACAGACTGTTTCTTCTTTAAGATTCTGTTCCTCTGGTACCAACCACTCTTCGTACTAAATAGTTTGTATTATATTAGATGAAAGCATATCATTGCAGGAAATTATTTTTTTCTTTGTACATTATTTTATTTTTTGTAGTATATTATTTGTAATATAATTATTTTTTGTTTTTTTCTTAATGTGATATCTCTTTTATTTTTTTAGTCTATTGTCTCTAATATAATTACTAACTATATCAAAATTTTCTCACTTTTTCTGGTATAAGATTTTTTAAAAGGCTAATCAGGTAAAAGTAAAGTTATTCTAAAATCGTATGCATTGATGGATTTTGACTTTTGATTCAGGTAAAGGTCTATTTCAAACAGCTTGATATCAAAACTCATTTTCAATTAGATTAGAAGGTAAAATAATGAAAGTTTGTATCCTGGCTTTGAAAACCATGATGGAAATGTTTGTATTTTGTTCATATTTATAGCTGGATTCTGATGGCACCATTACTATAGAGGAGCAGATTGTCCTTGTGCTGAAAGCAAAAGTGCAATGTGAACTCAACATCACAGCTCAACTCCAGGAGGGAGGTAAAGATGCCAAGAAAACTGACTCCCCTTGTACCTCCTATCTGTTCTCGTAAAGATAGCAAATTTCCCTCCTTCTTTAGTGTTAGGGATATCCGTATCAGTCAATCCATATTTCCATGCGGAGGGGTGTGTAGCAGAATAACGACACTCTTTTTATCTCTATTCCACATGCTTTTCCCTCTCTGTGGAAGGAGTGACTTGCCTGATAGTAAGTTTGAGAATAGCAATTGGGCATGTGCACATCAGCCTATCCCTTAGTCCTTTCTTCAGAATTTGTCTTCCTGTAGAGAGCATGCATACTGATTTGCCCTTGACCATACAGTAAGCTTGGAGGAGCAGGCTGTGTCTCTCTGGACATTACCTGCAGGTTTAGGTAGTAAGCTCAGTTTAAAGCAGTACATAAGCAAGCCCATTTATATACCTAAACCATGTTCTCCAAAAAACCTTTTTTGTTAGTAAAATGATAACATTTTATTTCCATTGCCTGACATTTTATGCAATCTCTTAATTAGTTCCAAATTCAAGTTGAAAGTGGGGTGTTATTTGCTTTGCTCCCTGCCTTCCCAAATGAATGCAGCAGAAAATGATCTTAAAGTTTTCCCTCGGTTATAAAATGTGCAGTTTGAAATCTACTTCATACCTCTCTAAATACTAAAAAATAATTGTGATTGATTTTACAATGTTTATGATCAGAGAATGTGGTCTGCTTGATACTGAGTTTTAAAAATGCTTTGAGACCTAATGGCTTATATTCTTGTCAATTTTGATAATGTTCCATGTGGTCTTCAAAGGTATGTATATTCTCTAGTTTCTGAGTACAATGTTTTACAGTGTCCACTACATTAAGCTTATTAGTTGGGTGGTTCATATATTCTGCATCCATATGATTTTTCAAATGTGCTTGACCCATTTGTACATGATTTGTAGGTAAGATAATACAACCTTGGCTTATGGAAAAAATTGAATTTAGTTGCTAAAATTCATTTTTCAGGTCTTTGCTTGTTTATAAACTACCATGTAAATGTGTTACTTTTCTTTTGCATTCCATTTTTATGTTCTGGTTTTGCATCTTTTGCCATGCTTAGGTGAGTTACTTATAATTGTTACATATTGTGGGTGTTATGAAGGAAGAAATGAAATTTGTGCCCATAGATGCAAATTATTTCAGAGCATCTGGTGAAATTAATGAGCAAAATCTTGAAAGGTTTTGAGTATTTTATAAATAAAGTTCCTCTATATTTCATGTATCATCTCACCTAGAATAGTGAACAATGTAGAGTGTAACATGAAGTATGTACAACAAAAGTAAAAAGTTAAAAAAATGTGCTTGACCTATTATTTCCTGATTGATATATATATATATATATATGTAAAATATATATCTTAAAATATGCTACTATGATAAGTTTTCAACTTTTCATCAAAAAATTTATCAGATAGTTTTACTTCATATATTTTGAAAATATATGAGGTATATTTAAGTTTAGAAATATTAGATTTCCTGGTGAATTAAAACTTTTATACATAGGAAGTAGCCCTCTTTATCTCTAGGATACTTTTCCTTCATATTTAAAAAATATGTACAACTTAAAATTATTATGAAAATTTAACAAATAACACTTGTTTTCTTCTTTCTTGGTATCTGCCTTTTACATCTTTTCTAGTTCTTTAAAAAATGTTTTAATTGTGATAAAACATATATAACATTAAATTTACCATTAAAATTTTTTTTAAATTGTACTTTTCAGTAGTGTTAAGTATATTCACATTGTTGTGCAATCAATCTCCAGAAATTTCCCAACTAAAATTGACACTCTGTACTCATTAAATTTTAACAACTCATGTTTCCATTCTTTTACTAAACTTTTATTAAGCTTTTCTGTATACTTAGATTTCAGGAGTATCTTTTACAAACAGGACACCTATAGAGTTATGCATTCTGATAATCTTTGTCTATTAACTGAAGAATTTCACTCAATTACATTAATTGTAATTACGTAAACATACAGTATTTGAGTTTAATTCTAATATCTTATTTGGGCTTTCTATTTCACCAGCTCTTCTTCTCTCTCTTCCACTTCTGCAGCTCCAACTCTTTTTTGGATTGATTGAGACCTTTTTCTCATTTTATTCCATCCCCTGCCACCCCCAACTAGTATTGAAGATATGTATTATATTTAATTCTTTTAGTGGTTATCCTAGAAATTTTTCTCATATATATATATATATATATATATATATATATAGTACTTTAGGTTATATATATATATATATATATATAGTGCTTTAGGTTCTGGGGTACATGTATGTGTGTGTGTGTGTGTGTGTGTATATATATATATATACACACACACACACATATACATGTATATATATTCTCTCTCTCTCTTAGGTTCTGGGGTACATGTGCAGATCATGCAGGACTGTTACGCAGGTACATACATGGCAAGGTGGTTTGTTGCCTTCATCCCCCAGCACCTATATCTGGTATTTCTCCCGTCATTATTCCTCCCCACCATCCCCACCCCCTGCTGTCCCTTCCCTAGCCACTCTCAACTGACCACAGTGTGTGATGCTTCCCTCCCTGTGTCCATGTGTTCTCATTGTTCAACCACCGCTTATGAGAACATGTGGCGTTTGGTTTTCTGTTCTTGTGTCAGTTTGCTGAGAGTGATGGTTTCCAGATTCATCCATGTCCCTATGAAGGACATGAACTCATTGTTTTTTATGGCTGTGTAGTATTCCATGGTGTATATGTGCCACATTTTCTTTATCCAGTCTATCATTGATGGACTTTTGGGTTGGTTCCAGGTCTTTGCTATTGTAAACAGTGCCTCAGTAAGCATATGTGTGCATGTGTCTTTATAATAGAACAATTTATAATTCTTTGGGTATATACCCAGTAATGGGATTGCTGGGTAAAATGGTATTTCTATTTCTAGGTCCTTGAGGAATTGCCACACTGTCTTCCACAGTAGTTGCACTAATTTGCACTCCCACCAACAGTGTAAATGTGTTCTTATTTCTCCACATCCTCTCCAGCATCTGTTGTCTCCAGATTTTTTAATGATAGCCATTCTAACTGGTGTGAGATGGTATCTCTATGTAGCTTTGATTTGTATTTCTCTAATGACCAGTGATGATGAGCATTTTTTCATATGTTTGTTGGTCTCGTATATGTCTTCTTTTGAAAAGTGTCTGTTCATATCCTTCGCCCACTTTTAAATGGGTTTGTTTGTTTTTTTCTTTAATCTGTTTTACTTCTTCGTAGATTCTGGTTATTAGCTCTTTGTCAGATGGGTAGATTGCAAAAATTTTTTCCCATTCTGTTGGTTACCAGTTCACTCTAATGATTGTTTCCTTTGCTGTACAGAAGCTCTGGAGTTTAATTAGATCCCATTTGTCTATTTTGGCTTTTGTTGCCATTGCTTTTGGTGTTTTAGTCATGAAGTCCTTGCCTATGCCTATGTCCTGAATGGTTTTGCCTAGGTTTTCTTCTAGGGTTTTTATGGTGTTAGATCTTATGTTTAAGTCTTTAATCCATCTGGAGTTAATTATAGTGTAAGGTGTAAGGAAGGGGTCCAGTTTCTGCTTTCTGCACATTGCTAGCCAGTTTTGCCAACCATTTATTAAACAGAGAATCCTTTCCTCATTGCTTGTTTTTGTTAGGTTTGTCAAACATCAGATGACTGTAGATGTGTGGTGTTGCTTCTGAGGCCTCTGTTCTGTTCCATTGGTCTATATCTCTGTTTTGGTACCAGTACCATGCTGTTTTGATCACTGTGGCCTTGTAGCATAGTTTGAAGTCAGGCAGCGTGATGCTTTGTTGTTTGTTCCAGCTTTGTTCTTTTTGCTTAGGATTGTTTTGGCTATGCAGGCTCTCTTTTGGTTCCATATGAAGTTTGAAGTGTTTTTTTTCAGTTCTGTGAAGGTCTTTGGTAGCTTGATGGGGATAGCATTGAATCTATAAATTACTTCTGGCAGTATGGCCATTTTCACGATGTTGATTCTTCCCAATCATGAGCATGGAATATTTTTCCATCTGTTTGCATCTTCTTGTATTTCCTTGAGCAGTGGTTTGTAGTTCTCCTTGAAAAGGTCCTTTACATCCTTTGTTAGTTTTGTTCCTAGGTATTTTACTCTTTTTGTAGCAATTGTGAATGGGAGTTCACTTTTGATTTGACTCTCTGTTTGTCTGTTATTGGTGTATAGAAATGCTTGTGATTTCTGCACATTGATTTTGTATCCTGAGACTTTGGTGATGTTGCTTATCAGCTTCAGGAGATTTTGAGCTGAGATGATGGGATCTTCTAAATATACAATCATGTTGGCTCCCTCTTTTCCTAATTGAATGCTCTTTATTTCTTTTTCTTGCCTTATTGCTCTGGCTAGAACTTCCAATACTATATTGAATAGGAGTGTTGAGAGAGGGCATCCTTGTTTAGTGCCAGATTTCAAAGGGAATGCTTCCAGTTTTTGCCCATTCAATATGATATTGGCTTTGGGTTTGTTGTAAATAGCTTTTATCATTTTGTGATACATACCACTGATACCTAGTTTATTGAGGGTTTTTAGCATAAAGGGCTGTTGAATTTTGTCAAAGGCCTTCTCTGCATCTATTGAGATAATCATGTGGTTTTTGTTTTTGGTTCTGTTTATGTGATGGATTACATTTATAGACTTGCATATGTTGAACCAGCCTTGCAACCCTGGGATGAAGCCTACCTGATCATGATGAATAAGCTTTTTGATTTGCTGTTGCATTCTGTTTGCCAATATTTTATTGAAGATTTTTACATTGATGTTCATCATGGATATTATCCTAAAGTTTTCTTTTTTAGTTGCCTTTCTGCCCGGTTTTGGTATTAGGATGATGTTGGTCTCATAAAATGAGTTCGGAAGGATTTCCTCTTTTTGTATTGTTTGGAATAGTTGCAGAAGAAGTGGTACCAGCTCATTTTTGTACGTCTGGTAGAATTTGGCTGTAAACCCATCTGGAC